ACTTTCAAATCAGAAATACCGTCCTTCATCTTGCACTTCGAGCTAGCGTATAAAAAGAAGGCTTTCGGGTTCTTTTTTGCATTTTTAGCAATACTTTTTTCGAGGGTTTTTACAGCGGTGCGACAGCTTTCTTTAGCTTGATTTCGAGCTCTTGCGTATAGGTTATAGTCATCAAAAAATAGAAGCATAGAAAAAAAATATATTTATAAAAAATATAACTCAGTACTCACTGCAGTGAGTGACAGAGAGCGCATTTTCTTGTCGACGAAAACTTGAGGTCACGGACAGACGAACGGACAGACAGACAGACAGACAGACATGGCGAGCACAATAGTGCATTTTTTTCCATAAATGAGAAAATGCGCTAAAAAGTCGCTTCTATCAAAGGCATAAACTTTCAAAAGTTATACTAGAACAGCTAGATGAATGCGTATGCGCGGATGTTGTTCTTTTGTTAGTGGTACCGCAAGGAAATTACAGAATTCTAGGGTACTTGGTAAATTTCCCAGTGGTCCAGTCCACTCAAGATCAACCCACTGATGAAATAGACCTCCAAGCAAAACAAGGTGATGGATGAAGCACTTGAAAATCACTTGAACATCGCAGCAGCAAACCCTGTATAACATGAGCGGTGACGCACTGACTAGGAAGTTTGTCTTCTATGAAGTTTTATGGTTTGGCAAATTTTATTATCAAGTTACAAAGAAAATTTGTTAATGCTCCATCGCAAATGTTTTTGGCTGAATTAATTAGAGACGAATAACCTGTTACTGAATAACCTGTCGGTTTAAAGAACCGTGATACAATTCTTATAAATATTTGCCATTGAGGGACGTTTGCCCGGGTTTGACTGGTTAGAATGAGGAAGCTAGTGAAATCGAAGCCATTATGATTTATTCGAAGCCATTATGGCTTCTTCGGGCTTGTGAAATGGAGGTTGCCAATATTATATTCGTTATATAAGGATTGCGCATTAATGACTCTAGCCTTTGCTAATTAATTATTCGACAATTGAGTGAAAAGTGGCATATGATACAATGCACAGACATTTGGTTACTTTCAGCTCGAGTGTAATTTGGATTTGATAGTATAAAGCGAAGTTAAACTTGGAAGAATTGAGTGATTTAGATTATTAAGATCGGAGCAGTGCGTTGCAAGTTCGAAACACGCGATTAGTTTTACAAATTCTGGTTGAAATTGGCAAGGTGGTAGGTTGGTTAATAATCTGGGACAAGCCTAATCAAAGCTGACTCCACTATGCATATATGTACACCCGCAAGCTCATGTGTAAAGTAACTGATACGGCGCGCGATAATTCGTGGGCAGATAAGAACAATGAATGAGTTTTCCTGGTTTGACTGAACACTTGGACAGGGAAAAAGAAGCTCTCAATGTAATTTCATGGAGGCCGAGACTCTTACAGAGCTTTATATGCAAGAAAGTATTTCGTATACTTTAACCAGATGTTGAAATGTAATTTTATAATTTTGTTGGAAGATATAGGAGGTGTTAATTGATTATTGTTATTATTTAAGACGTGTTAATTGAATTTGTAGTTATCCATTATCCTATAAAACGAATCATTATTTTAGATGCAAGGCTGCCGTTGACTTCCGCGAGCAATGCGAGAGTTTTTCGCTATCGAGTAAATTATTAATTTCAAGCTCCGATTTTTGTGGATTATGTATTCTGTTTACTGATAATGACAGGAATACAACTTCACCACTGTGGTAGCGAAACGTTATATGTCATTAGTGTGCATTCGAGTTAGTTATAATTTGGATTTTAGCGCAGCACAATGCCAATCTTCTCGGGCTGTAATCTCCGTGTCACCTCTGATGTCAAATCTAGCGCAGCACAATGCCAATCTTCTCGGGCTGTAATCTCCGTGTCACCTCTGGAGATTACAATTGAAGATATCAACTTGAGGGCGCGAGCAGAAGATATCAGAGTAAGTTGCATTGCTGATGAAAGTACCGCGTAAAATGGGCCTAGACAAAGCAGATAGCGGCGTGAGAGACACCGACGACACTGATTGCTCTGGAGGAATATGTCAGGAATGTCAACACGCCTAATCGACAGCAACAAAACTCTGCTGTTTATGGACTGAAATGAATTGGGTAAAACTTGGCCTGTGAAAATATTTTTCGGGTTTTTAGTTAGTTAGTTAGTTTAGTTAGTTAGTCAGTTAATGAGGGATAGTCTCGACTCTATCACTGTAATTTTTTCCCCGTTTTTAGCGCATTATCTCATTTATGAAAAATGCACTATTGTGCTCGCCATGTCCGTCTGTCCGTCTGTCCGTCCGTCCGTCTGTCTGGCCGTCCGTGACTTCACGTTTTCGTCGACGAGAAAATGCGCTCTCTGTCACTCACTGCAGTGAGTACTGAGTTATATTTTTTTAATGTTTATTATATAGTTGAAGTCCGGTTTCATAAAAATTTCATTGTTTACCAACTTCTTGATATTTTTCTATTGCGATTCAAACAAAGTTCCCAAATGATATTCGGAGAGATACTGACATGAAATTCAATAATTAATAAGTTTACTTAATAATCTAAAGAGTCGGAACCGTTAATTCGAAATTAATTGTGTTGACATTGAATATATTTTTTTTATTCTAAACTGAACATGATCGAGTCTTTCATTTTGGTTATGTTTCGAAATCTCATTGTTATTTATAATTGATAGGTGCATTTACGAAATTATTACTATCTTGCTTCCAATTTTTCTTTGCAATTTTTCACTTTTGTTGTGCTCTCTCATCAGTCCGAGTAGGGAGTTGTTATCATTCCTCATCGGCCCAAGTAGGGAGTAGCTTTACTTATCATATTTTCCATTCGCGATAAAGTTAGGGTATAATGACCATGATATTGGGTAAAAAAACAACTTTTATCCATTAAAATCTATCAATCTTCTAAGTATGAAGCAGTCACGCTCGGAAGTACTGTCATAAACAATGTATATGTCCAAAAATGATAGTCACCGATTGTCTTTAATAATACAGAATCAGTTTTTCATCGTTCCATGCTAACACGAGCAAAAAAATGTAGTTCTCTCAAAATTCTCCTCATAATTTGATAACAAAATTGTTATTTATAATATTTCAAATTTAATAGCATTCTTACAATATTCCCAGCCAATAACAGTAAAATAAATATGAGTATCCTGAGTCGGTCGAGTGTTGAAGCACTTCATGAGTATGCCTGTCGCGTACGTGACATCTTGATCGTCTCACCAGGGCCTCTCAGGACTTTCCTAGTCGCTGCTCCGCTATCAACCAAAGTAAGAGTTATGGCCGTGATGGTCCACTTTCAGATTACAAACACCCTTGATGTTAAAGGTATAATTTTATGAGGAATGTGAACTTTCTCCCGTAGCAACAATATCGCTGTGGACAAGAATTCTCTCGATTAGTTTCCTCAAGTGAACATGTAGATTTCTAATATACTGCAAGTGATTCAATTCTAACTAGAACCTCGTAGAGAGGCAACCCATGACGACTCGCGACCAATTAAATTTCACTCCTAGTACAACGCAAGCCTGCCTGCAGAAAAATCTTGATTTTTCAATGCCGCTGCATGCAATATATTGAAAACTTTGATTGGGCATTTACACACTAAGATTTTACAAGCATTCAATATGATTTAAATGAAATGGATAGATAAATTACAGTTAGGGAGCGCACCGGGACGTAATTGCGCATCAAGTATTAATTTTCACCTTCGTCCATCAAGTGTCGTCTCGGCGAACTGTTCTTTTAATTATTGGTAATGTTATTTAGAAATGTTGCTTCCGGATAATTTTTCTTTTCGGACAAAGAACTTAGTAATTGCATCCAGAGACCGATAGTTTAAAGTTAATTAATTTGAATATTTTCTTGCAAATGACGATGTAAAACATTAAATGTTACTCACTGCAGCGTACGACGCGATATTTATGCACCTCAAGAAAAAAACACGAAGACATTTGCATAATATGACCTTCCGTAACTTAAAAAAAAATAATAATATGAATTTTTAAACTCCGTTGTTAAAGTATTAATTCGAATGAAATTGTACTATCATGTCTGTTATGTCTTCTTCTTGATCAGGTTAAAAATTTTATCCTCTACAATAAACTAACATGGATGAAAAAGTGAATATTTTCTTTATTGCAATCATACTATTGTCGTTTTTACGTTACTATTCCAAAATACGCAATGGTGAAAGATGAATTTCAAAGCGTTTTTTTAATAATTAAATATTAAAGAACTGAAACCATAGAAGCTATTTGCTCTGCATGGCAACTGGACGCTTTCCATTGGCATGTTCATCGGAAAAAAGTGAAACTCGGAGGCAACAACGCACTCAACACGAGAGTAGTTATCACTCGTATAGCCCCACCACTCATGTAAATTGTGTAAGATATCCTTTCCCTGTCGATGGTCATGATAAGACCGATCACCGATAGTCTCAGTCTCTTTACGTGACTGATATTATATTCGAGAGTTCTGATATCCTAAATATTTGTGTGATCTCCAGCCCAAGGTTATTTATAATGATCGTTAAATTATGGGTAACTTATTACAAACTTCAACGATTTATATCCCTTACTGTTATGTTCTTGAAAAATTGCTTCAAATATAGTAATTTCGCAATTCACTAAAAGAAAATTTAACTTTTGTCGGACGGATAATTTAGCAAATGTTCAGACGGATCTAGAAGATAAAACAAATCTTTTCATGCTCTTGATCAATGTTAATTCCATTTTCGTTTATATGGAAAAATAATTTGACTGCGGCCATAGACATAATAAATTTTGCATCGCTCATGTCTCATGTAAGCTCATGTGAGAAAACTTATATTTAATTTAGCTTTGTTGCATTAATTATTTTCTAAATTCAATATAATTTTTAATCATACAATTATATTTTTTATCGACAAAAACCATATATGAGAAATTAATCTAAAAAATTGAATGATTTTGGGCAATCGTAATGTGTTTGGATTTAATTACGAATCTGAAAAAATCGATTTATTTCTTTAATGTTTGAATTAAGGGCAAAAATGAGTACATTTCCGTTCTAGTCTATGTTAGGAAACAGTTTTATTTAAACACTTTTTGACCGTTGACATGTGAGAATGAACATTTTTGCAAAATATTTTCCATGAAAGCCTTTCATTGTTCTTTCGTTTTGGTCAGAAAGAAATTTCACCTTATTTATCGATTTTGCAAAGACTAATCTAGACGACTCAGGACGTGATACGCAGCGAAAGCTACTAAAAACAGGAAAGGTGAAAAATATTGGCGAAAAATCCAGCAACATGTAACTTAATTAGTTCCCTCTTGAAAAGAAAAATAATGTTGGTATGTACTGTTTTATTGGAAATAACAAGGAAGAATTAACAAAGGATAAATACTTTACACTACCTGTACGTAGACAACTGCTTATCGGTTTGCGTCCTTATATGAGATGCTGTCTTTAAATAAAAAGTTTAATTTGAAAGTAGGACGGTAGCCAACTATCAGTATTATTCCAAATATCACATCTACATATTACCCAACAACAAACAAAATCCCAAGTCTAGCTGTGTTTTGTTGGCAAATAATGCGGGAACATATTAAATAATGGTTCATTATAAAATTGAAAGGATTGTGATTTCAATAACTGATTTTTATTGCAGATGTTCTTTATATTACAAGTATAAAATCTATATGAACTTTTTGAAAATGATAAAATCAACTTTTGAGTTGAATTAGCAAGTTTTCAATATTGTTTTTTCGCCTCGTTTTAGGAATATTATTCCCGGAGTGCCAAAAGAAGGAGATAGAGAGAACGATGAATTGAATCTAATTGGTTTTGTGGCTGAATCTTCTATTTCACAAAATAGCCGAATAATTTTCTATTCACGGAAGTCAAATTTTCTTCTTTTGAATAACTCAGAAGAATTATACTTTCTCTGTTCTTCAGGGAAGGTTTTTGACAGCTACGATCCGGGGTTGAAATCGCACTCCGCCGTGCGGTATGATCGGGATGTGACTGCTGGATGCGAACGATCATTTAATTAAATAATATCAATATTTTGATCTAAATCTTTTATTTTTTTAAGATTATATCCTGACGAAGCCAAGCTCATACTGAAACGCCACCTGATGCCCGGCCACCAGCGGATCATCGAATCCTGGTACCGTGGACTCAGGAACAACACTAAATAATTGGTGTCCCAGACTAGCCAGAGTCTCGATGGTCTCTGCGTAGGCGGAGTACAGAGACGGGTCCTTGATGGCCTCTTCCATGCGAACCGTCACCGAAAGTTGCAAAATATCCTCCAGCGCTGGCGTCTCTTCCTTAGTCAGCGATTGAAGAATCTGAAATACGTGACAGTTCATTGAAAGTTACCTGGTTCTTCACTATAATTATTTAAAGATGTGAAACTATTTAGTTATGTATACGAAGATATGTATGTATTTAGTTATATATATATACGAAGAATAGGCATTTTATTATTCTATCGACCTGCCACTCGCCGCCGCCGAGGTCAAGTTTGACGAGATGCAGAGGACTACGCAGTAAACCCCAGTGCGTTAGCCAGCCAGCGAACGTTTTGCTCTGGAGGCAAAATGAAAGTACATAATAAAATTATTTAATGGCACTGGAGGCAAATTAAAATTCATTTTTGCTTCGTCCAAAGTTTTACTTTGCACATAGATTAAAACTTTGACGTATTTAATATAAATAACTAACATGCTTTGTGCTAACTCTAATCCATGGCTCCTCTAAATGCAAACATTTTTATTTCCACGAAATTTAAAATTTTCTAATTTGATCACTAAAGAAACAATGCAGTGTTTAATAAGCAATTTTAATTATTCTCTCAAATTACGGTACTTATGAGAGAATAATTCAATGGTACCTATTATTACTGTACTGTTTGTAATATTCTTCCATAAGGGGTTCCCAGGAATACGGACATCACTGGATTCATAGTTAGAAACTTATTATATACCTGGGAGTCGCTTGGTTGACTCTGCAGCAGGCGGCCTGGGTAGACAAGAATCTCCTGCGTGTGGTTGTAGCTCTTTGCTCTCGGACGCTGGTCCAATGCGTGCACCTTAAAAGTATATTAACCATTCATACAGTTGAATTTAATTTAATTAATATCTCAGGATACTCCGCTGGACTAAAATCTATTACTGATGGCTGATGACGTCTTAGGTGCCAAAATTCTATTCTTTTTAGATCGTTGCCTCTGTAATGGACTATTATGACATTAATAATTTGATTTCACGATGCATTTGTCTTGAAATATTATCCTACTGTATAAAATCAACCAAACTCTAAGATGTACAAATTTACGCGTACAAATATACATATGTGTATTCTCAAATATGTGCGTATAAATTATAGAAATTAATGAACGAATGTTCATTAATTTATGACTCACACGAATAATGAATTTATGAATTAAAATATTAATTTATGAAGGACTCACACGAATGTTCCCTCTCTTGGCGAGCTCCTCCTCGAAGGACCAACTCTGTTGTCTGCCGAAGGCCACGACGTCCCTGAGCGGCGCCTTCCAGAGGTCAAAGTCCTCGCACACCACACGGCTCCCTAAGATCAGGTCCTGCGAGGGCACCAAACTTGGGACATTACGTACATTACATTACATTCGTTAATCCTAATAGCTCGAATTTGCATCAAATTAATTTTGAAATTTTCAGGTAATTGGCTGATTGCTCTATAAGCATACGTATTGTAAGGTGCGACTGGGAAAGAAATTCACGGTTAGAATTCAATGGTTGACCACTGAGATCAGGTTGGTGGAGTGTGACAAGTTGATGAAAATCGTTGCTAGATTATCTTGTGTTCGGCAATGAACTCTTATGAAATAAAAATACATAACTACGTGATCGATTACACTCCATAACTGTTCGAATATAACGGTTTTGTAACCTACTGACTAAAACTAAAAAAATAATTGTAGGAAAAGACACAGTAATGAATGTACATGTATTATTTACAATTTTCTATCAGCGTTGCCATTTATACATCAATTACCCTACTGAGTTCAAAGTGATTTGTGTGTTAATTCTACAGGCATCAGGCTGTACAATGATTGCATTAAATATCAAAGATTCTATTTACCTTTTTCCAATCGTACACTCCTCCAATTCTGCTACGATTCCTACACGAGTCTTCTTCGTAGTTAAGAAGCCCATAGAAGTGCCGGATGTCTTCTTTAAACAGAGCTCTTTTTGGGTGCACCACTTCTTCCATCATCAAACTGGTAGCGGAGTTTCCTCCAGGAGCCTCGTTCTCTCCGGAAAGCTTCCTTAGCCAGTGCCAAATTTCTTTCCTGTGGAATTTATGCAGCACGTTTCTCGATGAAATTCGAAAAGAGTGAAAATAATAACCAGTATATCAGAAAAAATATAACTCAGTACTCACTGCAGTGAATGACAGAGAGCGCATTTTCTCGTCGACGAAAACGTGAAGTCACGGACGGACAGACGGACGGACAGACGGACGGACAGACGGACATGGCGACCACAATAGTGCATTTTTTCATAAATGAGAAAATGCGCTAAAAAGAACTAAATTTTATTTTAAACACCGATTTTCCGGTCAAAGCGCGGAAAATACCCGTAGTATTGTAAAAATTGAGAAGCACTTTGAAAAAAATACAAAAAATGACAATAAAGTCAAACGAAAAAGTACAAATTTATTTCCTGGGTGTCTTTCTGCCCCTGATATCCCTTAGTGATCACGATAGTAACAACTGAAATAAGAATCCGGGTGGGACATAGTAAAAAGAAATTTTTTAAAAGTCACTACTAAATTTGATTACTTGGGAGTCCTTTTCGGGTTGATTACGAAATTCTAGACTAATAAACTTCAATTTGCAATGGTTCAATTAAGATAATTTCAATTAGTTTCAACATCTAAATATGATTTACACATTGAAACCAGGGTATATAAGTATAATTGAACTGCGTGTCTGATTAAGCATCACCACCGCCAGAGATCGGCCCTTCAGCATAAGTTCGCATGAGGTGATATGACCTCATCGAGAGGCTCTTGAACTTTTGATATGGCGAGCAGTTATGTGCATGGCGACGGTCAAGTCAAGAGAAAGTCCTTATGTAAATAGTGATTGTCATCTTGATCAGCTAGCCTGATTGCGAGACTTTCCCTTGTAGCATGAGCAAAGCAATTTTTATCATGATGATATAGATGTTGTGATGATCAAGAAGGACAGATGTCCTTGGCTGCGCAGATTTGATACAAATTTTCACTCATCCGTTGACAATTGTTTGCCGATGCTCTAAGTTACCAATAAAATTTTCGTACTTTAAATATTATTTGATTTCTTTCCGGGCGCCTGAAAACATAAATTGTTCCAAAGGTTGCGCATCTATAGAAGAGGCTAATCTCGAGAAAAACGATTCGTAAAGATGGTATAAGTTAATTTAATTAACGCGATTGCTCCGACGTGTGATCCGATCAATTTTATATAAGTTATCGTTTAATGTGCAACATGTAAAAAACCTAAATTTCATAGGTATTTTTTTTTGCAATTGTTCGTAGCTATTTTTCAACAACATGAAATTCAAACGCAAAAATCATAAATCTCATAAAGCAGGAATATAAGCACACGCGTGAGAAGAGTTAGAGTACCTGTGGACCAATCAGAACAATAAGTCAACTGTTGCTCGGTTTGATTTCAATATGAAGAAAGCACAATGCGTTAGTGAATGAAATTGATCAAGTGGAATATAATTTTGCTTGAGCATTGAATTTCAAATTCAATGCTCTCCAGCATTTGAATTTGAACTCACAAAATATTGACATGAGAAAAAGTTAACTCATTATAAAAATTTAATAAAAATGACAGTGAAAATGTATAAAATTTAGTAGTAATATGTAATGTTTGCGATAATTAATACCAGAGGGCTTTTCTAATAAACCTTGAGATGCTAACCGAATGTGGTAACCTTGATCAGGAGTTGTTGAGATTATGGCCCTCTTATACGAGATGACCGCGTTGAGTGAGTCTTAGTGGAATCACAAGTAGTGTGTCCTAGCCGAACATCTCACATATTTATTACTAAAACACAATGAATCGTTTTTAAGCTTACAAAGAATGAAGTCATGAACTAAATTTAACATGAATGAAGTCAGAAACTAAACTAACACAGCCACGAATTAGACAACCCACGAGTTCTTTAGAAAAGGAATACATCCTTTTAAATGATGTTCCCAGTTGTATCTAAAGAAGCTTTTTCGTGAACTTAAAAGTTGGTCCTTATGATATGAATAAAAATATGTAATGTTTTTCTCAGTTGAGATATAAAATATTTTTATATCATGCATCGCATGGCAAAGTTGGTCTTATGATATGAATAAAAATATATAATATTTTTCGCAGTTGAGATATAAAATATTGTTATATCATGCATCGCATGGCAAGATTTCTCACGAATTGTTCCGTGGGTTGCCAAGCAGGAGGTTGACCGCCATGTCGTAAGGCCGCCGTATTTCCGACGGCCGCGGCAGCTTCACGGTGTCGGGCAACGCTTTCACCAAGATGCCGGTCAGCGCTCGCCCCATGGCCTGTAGAATCAAAATTTGGATGCGAAAATTCAAGGAACAGCATACAATAACGTAACATCGAATAAGGTGAAAAAAAAATAAAAATATAATCAGACTCTTCGACTTCTCATTTTTTTAGCTACACGTTGTTTGTATTTGGATTCACGAAGCTATTCGAACTTACGAGGTCACAGTCTGTTAGATTATTCAGCACAACGCTGTCAAATATTCGTAAAACATTCTTTAATCTAACTGCAGTCAAGCACAAAGACTTTTGTTTATTAAAATTTAATCGTTATTTTACAATCATATATTATTGAAAATATCGTGCTTCCATGAAAGTATTCTATGGCATTACTGGAATTATTTAAGGTAACTTTTGAAGTATGAAGTCCGAGCATGAATGATAGTGTGAAGTGACGCGATCGTATACTTCCGGATATTTTGCATTCAAACAGAAAATAAGAGCTGAATATTATGCATGTGTCATAAAGCCATGTTAAGATAATGCTTTGATACAACACAACCAATGTTAAATAAGGGAGACACAGTGAAAATTAAATCAGATGTGCAATTACTTAACAACTTGTAACTATACACGAGCACTTCTCTATTTGTTTCAATATCGAGAATAGTTGTTACTTCTTTAATGACATAGAATAATAACTGCATTAACTATTTGACTGAAACTCACTAGTATTTCAGCATTCTTTAATATTACACACCTGCCCGACAGTTTTTTCATCCAGGCCGTTCAGCATCTTGTCAACGATGGTTTTATTTGAGTGTTTCCTTCCCTCATGCAACTCGCTGTACTGGGCATCATGTCGTCGAGCATTTAATTGTTCATTTTTCTTACTATCTAATATTTTGTCCATGATAGAAGGCCCCAAAATGTCCAAGACAGGTTTGAGTATCACGAGAGTGTCACCGAGCGGTCTCTTACTTGGTCCACCTCCTTCAAATAACGGCGACAAATTCCCCATTACCCTCATGATGGACGACACTGCTGTATTCACATCATCTTTATCCCCTTCTTGATTTTCGACTACCGTTCTCACGAACGGGGCAAGAAACTTCAAAGCTCTATTGAAACCATTCTCTGATTTATCATTTCCGTTATCGTTTCCCCCTCCAAAAGTTTCTGCTATGATTTTTGGACCGACATTGATGAAAATATTTTCGATGAGTGAAGGCCCGCCATCAGGTTGTGCGTCATTAACACTTCTGGAATATTCTGCCAAAATTGCTGGTCCGACGTTCTGTGCAATAGACTTAAGCAACGATGGTTTTTTATCCTCGTGTTGCATCTGTTTTTCAAATTCGGTATTCTTGCGAGCTTCTGGTCCGAGAGGAGGGTCTGGGATAGGAGGCCTCTTCACATCGTATTCGTAATCAGGTTTTGTCTCCTTTGAATCCACAAAACCTTGAACAAGTTTTAATTTTTTATTATCAATCTTTCGATTAATCTCGGACACTTTTTTGGACATGGATTTTAGACCCTTGGCAAAACTGAAAACAGATTCCATAATTGGAGTGCCATCGTCTGCAAACTGCTTGACGTTATCTACCAAGTTTAATGCTTTATTTAAGACTGAATCTTGTGGCAGATTTAACGAAGCTGCAATACTGCCGAAGACACCGACTTCTGGCTCGGCGCGATACTCATAATCGGGATAATCCACGACTTTGTTTCCTCCATCAAGCTTCAATGGTGCAGGAAAAGCATGAACGGAGCTGTTAACTTCATTTTTATCATTTGGTTGGATGTTAATGATTACTTCCTTCTCCTCGATAGGTAATATAGGCGCAAACATCTTGGCTGGTCCAGAATTAGAGACGACACCATCTTGCTCGGATTTGTAGGGCGGGGTGGCACCAGTTCTGTAATAAACTCATTCATTTAAGAACACCACAACGTAGCTTTAAAACGAAGATGATCAAATAATTTGTCGTTTACTTAGCTAATTTCGGAACAGAGTACTTCTACCCGATTGGCTTGCAAAATTCCTCTCTTGTAGACATCAGTAAATTCTTTCGTTTTTAGCGCATTTTCTCATTTATGGAAAAATGCACTATTATGCTCGCCATGTCCGTCCGTCCGTCTTTCTGTCTGTCTGTCCATCTGTCCGTCCGTCTGTCCGTGACCTCAAGTTTTCGTCGGCGAGAAAATGCGCTCTCTGTCACTCACTGCAGTGAGTACTGAGTTATATTATTTAAATATTTTAACGGAAATTTTTTTCGTGCCGTTCGTGAAAAAACTGTTATTTTACGCAATAGTTTGCTGTTCATTCAATGAATATATCATAGCGGCTCAATTGCGACTAGTTAGCGGCTGAGTTTCAGTCTGTCGTTGAGGTTGTATATAATGAGCTATAATCGAGGAAATTTATTGTTTTTGTGGATTGTAAAATGATAAATTTCGTTTTGCACATTTTCTTAGCGATTTGGGAGTTGACTTCAGTCAAATTTTAAACGTGAACAACTTTCTTCTCATAACATTACAAAAAATTAGATCAGTACTCACCGCAGTGAATGACAGAGAGAGAGAGAGCAGATTTTCAGTGCAGTGACAGATATTATCTGCAGTGAGTGACAGAGATTTTCTCGTCCGGCCGTCCGTGAAGTCACGGACTGACGGACGGACAGACAGACATGACGAGCACAATAGCACCTTTTTTTCCATAAATGAGAAAGTGCGCTAAAAATAATGCATAGCACTTAATTGCCTAAGGTGATACAGGCGTTGAAATGAATGATAAATCACGAGAGGAAGGGTGTAGCGTGATTTTTGACGCACTTTTCAACGCTGCTTTAGATTTCGCAAGATAGATGATTTGATGGTTTCGAAGGCTTGAATACCCTTGCAGCGTTTGTAAACGTTCGAGAACAAAAGAATTTATGTTTCCAAAATATTTTAAATTTGCAAAGCAATTATATTCTAGTTTTTGTATACACAGCGAAATAAGAGTTCCTTTGAGACACAGGATAAAACAATAATGTTTAGTTCACCGATTTTCTAAAAATAGAAAGATTGAAGTCAATAAAAACGTTACTTCCTGCTATTTTTCGAATATTTTTTTAATCATCCACAAAGAATTCTGTCTGAAGATGCACGACTGAAAATCATATTGGTTGCCAAGCATTAGTTCAGTACGTGTGTCATCAAGACTCCGCAGTAGCGGAACTTCATCTCGAGTAACGGAACCGCGGAGCTCTGAGCGTCATCTGCCACCGCTAGACTAGCCGCAAAACGGTGACGATATTTTCATCAATACAAAATGTGAAATTTTGACATTAAAATTGCGGAAAACTTTCAACGAGTCTTCGGATTTGGAAAAAAATTGTTGAACGAAGGTCCGTTATTTGATCGCTTTCTTTCGAAACTTGGAGGAAACTACATACGGGAAGTGATGAAGAAGTTATTAATGCTTATCTTGCCTGGAGCTGAGCATGAGGCAGGAGGCAGTGAGCAGGAAGCTCAGGATGAGCAGGAGCACTTGCCTGGAGCTGAGCATGAGGCAGGATGCAGTGAGCAGGAAGCTCAGGATGAGCAGGAGCACTTGCCTGGAGCTGAGCATGAGGCAGGATGCAGTGAGCAGGAAGCTCAGGATGAGCAGGAGCACTTGCCTGGAGCTGAGCATGAGGCAGGATGCAGTGAGCAGGAAGCTCAGGATGAGCAGGAGCAGGATGGGCCGCTGACTGAGCAGGTGCAGCTTTCTCTTCGCATTCAATATCATCGTGAATCGTCTGGAATAAAACGTGTTATTAATTCAGGAACTGGAAGAGGCAAATATTGAATGTAATGCTTAAGAAACCTGGCGATTTCAACGAGTTTGAAAAATAATATTTTTCTGTGGATAGTATTTTAGTGTGAATTGAAAGAAATATTAGTTGCCGGCATGGAATACTCATTATAAAGTAATAATAGATTTGAAAACTTGAATGAAACCAGCAAATTATTCACTAAAATATAATTAACTTTATGGCTTTTGTTTACGATAACTCATTTATAATAATTCAAGTTGTACTGTTTTCATTTATATTTCATATAAAAACAGCTTTAGAATAAAAGATTTACTGATAATTAAGGGGATGGAAAATTAGAAGGGATTCCACACGAATCCAGTAGCTTTCTTAGCTATATTGAAAAATATTAATATATTTTTTGTGGTTCTTTTCCGGTTCGTCGGTGAGATACCGAATCTTTTCTATAATCTTTGCCGCAAGCTTCGGCTCGCTGGTGACCAATGCATGTGCGGCTGCGACGTAAAAATCTGCTTCACTTTTTCAATGCGATGATTATCTTTATTTGTTTCCACCTTTCGGGCAATTCTTTTCATGCAATAAATTAATACAACGTTGCATGTATGAGTCCGTCTTTTTGGTGTTATTATTCCGGTATTGGTTCCATAGAGGAAATTAAAAGCAATAAAATAAATTAAACCTAATCCTATTAGCAGACTCGTCTCTAGAAACTAAGTAGTTCGTGTTTCTAACACTTTTTAATTCCACATGACACCGATGCCTTAAAAAACGAGGAAAAAAGTATATTACTCAATCATTATAATGGCCTCATTTATTCATTGATTTCATCAAGTTGTATTCTAGAGAAAGTGTAACTGTAATATCGAGCGTCATTTGATGAAAGAGAGATCGTAATGTAGCGTCGCTAAGTTCCAGTGCATTGTTTCGATGAACAATTCGTTCTTCATTACAATGTTTACCAACAGTGAAAGACCCGTTTGCGACGTACGTACTGAATTCTAATTGTGAATTTATTTTATTAATGTAAGTAACAAATTCATTCATAGGAAAGCTATAGGAGTTTTATTAGGATCGTTTTACTTACCTTCTCGTGTAAGCCATATCAACAGAGTTTGATTTCACTCTTGTAGCACATGTTAAGATCTGTTATGCTTGTAGAGTTATCATTTATTTTTACCATAAAGTTTTGAAATAAACTAAGTCACAAAATCTACTTTGAAATTTAGCGAAATTAAAACCAGTATCTGATATGAATAATAAAGTACAAAGTCATTCTTTTTGTGACCTGAAAGGCACTGCACCAATTCAATAAATCAATTTGTATGGAATTAATTTTTGCGTGTGGATAATCTCTGAAATAAAGGAACATGAAAATTATTATTTTTTGCTTATTCGCCTTCTCATAAGCATATTTATAGGACAACGAGCGCCAAAAACCCTCATTCGACAAGTAATAGCAGGAGAGCATTTACCTCATATGAATACATGACAGGGATTGAGGTCATCAGGTGAAAAATTACAGTGGGCAAACGGCATCTTCCTTAAGAGGCACAAGAGAGAACCATGACGCAGATCTTCCTGGGCCACACAACTGCCCTGCCAGGGCCGAACTGTAAAAAATTTACACAAATTCGTGATTCCGCCAGCAAATTACTGACGGCTTATAATATGATTGAGGCTAAACCTAACAATCACATATGAGAAATCGGTCGCTACGTGTACTTGGAACCGTACGTGTACTTAAGTTCTGATAGTACACGGCCACCGATGGGAAAGCTCCTCTTCAGTAATGCTCAGCGTGGTCGACGCTTAAATAAGAGTCATGCAGTAAGCGCAAGACGAAAGAATGAGGGAGACTTCGGTGATGAGTGTTGACTTGGTATGAATGTTATGACGATATGGTGAAAGCAATTAATGTATACTAAAAACCCTAAATTTGTTGGTCAGTTGAATAGAATTTTTGCCTGAATTATTTTGACAACTTATTTTGTCAAAATGTGACAACTTATTTTTATTTTTGCCTGAAGAATTTTTTTGACAACTTATCTGATTGATGAGCTAACACATACACAAAAAACGTTAGGTGAATGAACGACTGTTGGCTCTCCTAGGCATAAACTATTAGGAATGAGAAAATGGATACCATATGATTTTATTTATCAGTTTTATAATTATCTAAATCGTCCTTTTCATTCTCGCCCATAATAATTTATTTCAGACACTGATTAGCTTGCATGGACCCAGAAACTGGTATCGTTTGCAGACAACTAGATTTATTTTGACTGAGTAAGCGTCGATATTTAATTTATTTATATACTTTTTTTCGAGAGAACCTAAATGAAACATTCTATATTGTGTCATCAAACATTTTATGTGTTACTCAATAAAAATCCGTAATGATTTTACCTGCTGACTATTTCTGTAAGCAGCATTAAATACTACGCAAAAAGTAAATTTAATGAGCAACTTCAGACAGATCTTTCAGATCTTCAATAAATTGTTTTGCACATGCGTAATAATGTATATTAATTCAGTATTGTACAAGTGCAACCAATAATTTTATAATTCTAACTAATATTATATCTAATTTTGATAGTTGGCTTCTAGGAGATTTCTCTTCGTTCAAATATCAGTGAAACATCTTCGAACACTCTAAAATTTGCTAACGGTTAGTAATGAGTATATGACGCTTGCTAAACAAATGAAGGGCAAAAGTAATAAAGTAATATTCAACTGAAAGCTCAGAGCAAATACGGCCTTTGGCACTCACTCCCTCCTCCACTTTGTTCCGCTAGCGCAGTGCCGCACGCGCTAGTCGCGTCACGCTGAGCATGCAAACGCGGCAGAAACACGGCGGTAAACGGCACTGGTAGGAACCGAACCGTTCTCCGATGTAGGGGCGATATACGGTGTATCAACAGATATGTCAAATATATGGAACCATATAATATCATATAATATATCAATATGTATCAAATGCAGCAGAAATCGGAGAAGCCCTGCGCACCAAGAACCAAGATTTTTCAACGGAAGCGACCAGCCTGTAATTAATGATAGACGGCAAGTAGATAATTCTACTTATGCGAAATGATAGAAGATAATAAATCTTAGGCGGATGGTAGATTAAGACAAATAGTAAGTATGGAACACTCGTAATAGCAGGATAATGCGCGCATGTAGATGTGGATATATTGAAAATATAAATGTTACTTAAATTATTGTCGCCTATAATCGTACAAAAAATGCACAGCTAAAAACGATCGAATATATATATTGAAATATCATGTTCAATCATTTTTATAATTCACTTCAGAGAATTTTTAGTAATTCTGATGGTGTTGGAGCGAGCGATAAAGCAAATAATGTACATCTAGGATTTGGTTGTGACAGATATTTGCTGTAATGACCAATGCTTATCGCGAATATATGCAAGGGATGACTTATTTTTTAATGCAAGGTTTGAAAAGTAAAAGTTATGTATTAGTATTGCTCGCTACTATCATTTGCGTTGATTTTTGTGAAGGGTTATAGACGGTTAAACGAACGCTCGTAGAAACCATTAATAGATGTTCCGTTAACCCGTTAACAGCGGCCAGTTACACGCTTGACCTACAGTTCGGTGATCGACGAGAATTAACATTGAACGGCACTAATTCGTTTTCAATATTCTGTACAGTCTTTAAAATACGTATAATCATCAGTTTCCCACGAAAATGAACTGTTTTAGGTGCTGAATTTGATACTAGTTTTTTACCATTTCCATTAAAAAATAAGTTTCGAGAAGTTTGATAGAGAAATTAATTCGAAAATTATGCAAAGCCCAGGGTTTAAGAAAATGTTTAGAAGTGCCGCGACCTATTATCATTCAATTGTCACGTTCACGCCCTCATTAGAAATCGACCTGATTCTCCAGACAGAGCCTCTGTTCGGTTAGAGTTGCTAAGCGGGAGCGACACACCATAACCACTCACTTCCGCTGCCACCGGGTTACTGACACTTGCGGTTGCCACTTGCCGACTGCCGTCTTGTCGCGTTTCCTAGTTCCGCTCCCTGACTTTCGTGAGCGAAACGGAAAGCGGTGACTACGGTACAACACCTTGATACCGGTGAAATAATCTAGAAATATCGATTAGAATTCTTCAAGCTTTGTGCCAAGTTTCGAATCCTTAGACATGAAAATTGGAGTTGATAAATATCCTTCACTTAGCACACTCTTCTTCGATTTGAAAAAAAAATCCAGTTCAAACATCATGCAAGATCGTCAAGGGAATCGGGTGATAATTGTAAACTCATTGAACGCAATTGTAGATAACATATGTTCATCGTTTGGATAATCCTATAGGGATACGGCCAAAACTTTATTTTCCCCCAATTATTTTGAATAATCTAGTACAAGGAAGTAGTTACTTCAGTACTTTAAATAACGGTTGTTCTCGATTACTTTAATTACTCTCTTTGTTCCGTTTGCAAGCCACAAGTACCGGATAACTTAAAGAGATTTTTAAATACTCAAGTTCTTAATTGGACAGTTTGATAATGTGAAAGATCATTCCCAATAAAAAATGGAAAAGGAACTATTGTTATGTGCAACTTTTTGATGTGCTAGATGATGCTCTAAAGAAATTGTTCCTCAACTTCTGATGCTCAAGACAATCGAAGGTTTGTTATAGGTGATGAAACACATGTAAATATGTTTCTGGTAGCAACATAATTTATCTATTATTATTTTTTAGGCTCGCCATATATGGTCTCTAGTCCCAGAACCTCATCTCAAACCAGCTTGAACAATAGGTTGCTTACTTTCGATAATTGGGTTGAGTTACATTGTATGATCTCACTTACTTTATTCACATGGGAATTATCAGGTGATCTCCTGACCTAAGCAGTGGGCTGAAACCCTTTTTAAATAAATAAATGTAACCAAAAGGCCCACGCATGCCGATTAAGGAAGTAATAAATTTCTGAAATTTTCAGTATTTATTGAGTATCTTAGGGTAAGCATTTCAAATAAAACATTATGTTCAAGCGATAATAATTATTGTCGCACACCATGAACAAGCCTCTACTCTTTAATGAAAAGTAACACATAAATAAGCTTACATTACTAGACAATACATTCATGTAATGCAGCCAATATTGTCTACCACTGACAAAGTATTTAAATTATTTTGATATATCAACGTAAGTACCACGGAGAGAATTCGGTTGCTACCATGAAACCGAATTCCCTGCGCTGTACTGGGAAATATGTTGTTAATTTAATTTTTAATACATCGTTGATTAATATGAATGCATCATAATTAATATTGAAAACCAGAATGCTGCCGGCAACGTGATAACCTTGGAACTATTTATATTCTAACTGGGCTTCATCAAAACTAGGCATACCATACCACTGCAACTAGGCTGGCAACACTAGCTGCAGTAGTGATTCTGCACTAGTAAAACATATAAACTGAACTAATAGTTCATTTGACTCTAAAAATTTAACTAAATAGTAGTGAATTACCTCTTTTATAGTTATTCATTCGTATAACACAACTTATATTAACGACACACGACCAATTAGAAATTAAGTCACAAGTCGGTAAATGAATGAAAACAGTCCCGATATAAGTTGTTCTCACTAATGCTCAAAAAATAACACCGTTTTCATTAAATCTAGCAAAAATCTAAGGATATGAAGCTATTCAAATCATAAATGAGTCAGAGCCTCAAAGCAAATAAATATAATTCTTGAAAATTATTCAGAAGAGAAAAATGACAGTGCTGGCAGTGAGACAGCAGTTCATAACTTGAATCGTATAAGCAAACCATTTTGCTGCTCCTCAAGTATACTGATTGTATACAAATATCCTTTGGATGATATCCTGTAAATAATGCTATCTATCATGCTACCGGCAAAGAGCCGGAAGCACCCAATATAAATTATGTTTTAGGCTGTTACCATCCATGTATGAGTTGAATTTGGTGGCATGATTATGTCGCTTTTGTTCACAACCTACACAATGCCACCAGCTAGCCCCATACTCAACCTGATGAGACTCAATTTAATTCACCACAGATTTCATACTTTTTTCATGTCTACTCATAAATTATGCAGATGGTTAGCACATCTCCAACGTAATCTAGTTTTTCCAATGAGCAATAATGATTCGTTTCCACAAGAAAAGATGTTTGATTGAAATCTTAAAATTCCCTATACGTTCATTGTTGAAATTGGCGAAAAGTAAATTAAATTCAAATTAAATTTAGCGATAATTTGATTAATTTCATGATCTTTTCGTCAAATATTCTCTAAAGGCTTTTTAAAGTATTGATATTTCCGACTGAAAATATCCAAGTACTCAATATGCAGGATTCACAAATGGCACCATTTTCAATCAGGAGGCCAATTTTTATTTCCAAAATTATTTGAATACCATTTCGTACGTGTGATCGTCACTAGATTGTTAATTTTGTAACTTGACATTCGTAATTGTCTAAAGTTTTTCAAATTTGATCGTGACAACGCATATAAATGACATTTCAGCTACATGTCGACAGCCTCCTCGTCTGCACCAACGTGCTGGGTGCCAGGAGGGGCTCTGTAGCCCGTGTAGCTGGGGGGTAGTTGGTGTTGGGCGAAGAAACTGGAGTAGTCTTTGCATTGCTTCTTTGGCTTGATGAACTCGCGCACCTGTCGAAAATGTGTAATAATGAGGCTGATGGAGAAATTAATTTTTACTCCTGTTAAAGAACACACAAGATTAGGCACGGCAATATAAAAAAATATAAATGAATTTTGATGAACGCCCAAGGGCCCAAAACTAAAAAAATGACGAAAAGATAAATTTTCCAATACAGAAGCCATGAGCCATTCAAACTTTTTACTTTTTGCAGCCAAAATACTAAAAGAAAATCAAAATAAATTATAACATTTTTCTTAACAAGTCTCAACAGGCTTAAGTTTCGAAGAAATATTGATTTAAGGACAATACAAATTTGCTGTTAGTTAATTGACATTTAGGATACTACTTCGTCCGTATTCAAGAAACTTCCTCTGTACTGCTATATGAAATAAGGAATATTTCGCTCCATGTGCACAGGTTATTACCAAAATATAGCTCCGGGCTTTTACACAAAATAAAAATTCTCAGAAAGCCAAAATTTCGTTAGACTTGCACGCTTCGTCACTCATTTACAATCTTAGTTTTTGATCGAAGAGCTGAAGAATGAAATGTTTAACATGCATCGTTTTTCTCGATCGGTTGTCGTTACATGTCCCACGAATGTTCAATACCACATACGAAAAAATATCGTGGTCCTTGTGAACACCATTGCGATATACTTCATTCCCATTGATCCGACTTTATCTTACCTGCTGTTCGGGTTCGTCCTGAGCTGCTGATGCTGGAGGCCACTTGCTGTCGCCGCGCATCTTCATGGGCTTTGTCATCTTGAAGGCTGGTTGGGACGTCACCACCTGCCATGTTATTATTTTTGGTTCAATAAAATTGTTTCAAAATAAAATCATTAATAAAGCCCATCTGTACATTCGACTAATATTGATTGACTGGCATCAATTAGATAATTCTACTCAAGTTCTCAATTAAGAACTTAACCATGGCAAGATTTACTGGAAATATCTAGGTGACTCACATGGCTGGCTCTCAGAGCTAAAATTTGAGGAAAGTTTAGGCAATTGAAAAAATTTCAACACAATTTTAAAATCCAAATCTAATTCCTCATCACTCTTGGGTAAGTATTAACAGAAAATTGTATGCCCATGAAATAATAGATACTATTCTTACCCTTGCTCCTTCTTGATGAATTGGCATTTCGTTGCGAAGTTTGAAATTCGACGGATAAACGGTCGTCTGATTAGGTTCTTCACCTGGCTGCAGAGGCTGCAGGACAGAAAAATTGTCAGCATTGGAAACTTTTAATAATGTAATGATATCTTCTGAGTCATCTCTTATTTTAAAATTGTTTCATATTAGATTCGTTTAAAAATCGTCACATGTATTACAATATGTAGTAAATTTTAACAATGTTTTGCGAGCAAAATAATCATGCAAGCTGTTTGAATGCACACTTGAAGTTCTAACAGTGCAAAACTAAATATTTAGATATAAACCCGAAATAAATTGAAATTCGAAATGGGTTTGCGTATGCTTGGTTTCCAAAGACGCATGCTCATGAAGCGATGCTATTTGAAAAGTTAATTTCAACTGAAATGCCAACGATTAAAGAAAATCCATAGAAATGTCACGAACCCAACGTAGAAGAAGCGAACTAAATATACCCGTTCGATGAAAAAAGATACCATAAAGCTTCATATTTTTAATTTCTAGCTGAGACCATAAGTAAAAGCTTAATAAGTGGAGCGTTAGGAAGCGAAGTGACAGACCGCAAGTCACCTGAGGAGGCCATTCTGTGGCGCGACTCTGAACCACCCCCTGGAAGGGAGTTCCAAAAGAACCTGTCCTAGTTGGTTGCCCTCGGTCAACGGTTTCTTGACTCGGACTAAACTGGCAATCAAGGCCTGATGATTGGTTGGTATTGAAATCAGTGTGACCGGCTGGGATGTACTCAGGTTCGGGGACATTTGAAGCAGGAGCAGCAAATACTTGTTGCATGCGAGGACCACTAAAAGGCATTCCGTGAACAGGACCATGCATCATGTTACTTCTTTCATGGGCGTTCGCCATTGGGTTGTTAGATGATGGTGGAGGAGTTGGCGTGTTAGAAATTTGCACTGGTACATTGAATTCACGGTGAATTTCTTGCTGGCTCTGAAATCTATTTTGGAAAGGTTGCAACGGTTCATGCGCGAAAGGTTGAGGTTTTTGGGAGTGCTGGAATTTCTGCTGCTGTTGTGGACCAGCATTCGGGTGCCTGAATCCCTGTTGTGGGGTGGGACTGAACTGAGAGGGGATGTTAGGTTGTTGCATGCTGGGACTTCCTGAAGAGATGAAGTTCGTTTCTTCGCTGTGCTCTTGGAAAACCTTTTTCACTGGTTGCTGCTGAGATTGGAAAGTTTTGGAGGTTGTCACGACCCTCACCTGGGATGAACTCGTCGTCATGGAGGATGATTGGGACGCCATGGTTGGAGGTGGTGGTACCGGCGGAACACCTGTAGAAGGATCAATGCCACTCGGCAACCTTGTAGGTGGTTTGGGTAACTCAGACTCTGAGGTGATAGCCAGATTTGGAGCAGAAGAATGAGCCTGTCGGAAACCTGTGCGTCATGTCACATCAAGGATATGGCAGATGCGAACTCGAATGACTGAGAAGATTAAAGTGTTTTGAGGCACACTGATGGCGTTAGTAATAACTGTTTTTTCTGCGCAGGGTGTAGCATAAATAAAAACGAATATCTTGAACAACCATTTAGACGGTTGCATGATTTCAAAGAACAGTCTAAACAAATGTTTAATTTGAATTAAGTAGTGTCGATTTATGAACGATTTGAAATGAAGTTTCGAAGAATGGCAATGAGCACGTACGTCAGTTTCTGCCAAACAAATAAAATGTAATTCATTGTTTTGTGTCTACTTGTAACATTTGTAAAATAAATGAAAGTTGGCGAGATGCATTGTGAATAGCAGGTAAGCAAATAAATATTTTAAGTTAAATGATAAGAGAAGCCTCAATGCTCAGAGTTAGCGTTTAGGATATATAAAAGAACTGCTACGAAAATAAAAGTATTGCCAGACATTCGCAAGAGAAAGAAGGGCGAAATTTGTATTTGTTTTCAGCAATCGCAGCAGCCATATGCAGATGCTCAGGTCATCATCCGGTTAAAAATTGTGGGAATTTAATCATGCAAAACGGCGAGCATAAAGAATAAGTGGACTGAAAAACATTTAGTCCTTCAACCGAAAATCGGAATCGTAGTAGATGCTAAACATGAAGTCAAAGCCAATATGAATGAAGCATTGTTTGACTCATTAAGATTTAGATCATCGTCGTAAACCCGAAATTTATAATTTTACAGAGATTTCCATTCTACCGCGATGAATGTTTTTATAATGTTTTTCATTGTTTGAATCAAATATTGCGATGCTCGGAAAATAATTTTTTCATGTCATGCACAGGAAATAGCGGCAAATGTTGCACAAAATAGAAAGACTCATGATTAAAATGTAACTAAAATTTAGTCTTTAATAGGATAATTATTGATAACGCCAACACTAAATCAAAGCTAAATATCAAAAGAAGAACGTAACCTCTTCATAATACGATTATGTACAAATTTAGTGTAGTGATAAATTTTGCAATTTATCAATCTTTATTTGAAGTTACATTAGACAAACCACCACATAAGAAATGGACTTGCATAACAAGCAATTCGTTTATAATTATTCCACAGAGCTCAACGATATATATAATAGCTTTAAAGCGGAAACAAAGAGCAGCATTTTAACAAGCAATGTTAGGATTAAAATAATAGAACGCTGTACTATGTGTGAATACGAAATTTGAGACCAAATGAAATTGTTTGTGCCCCGGTTAACTTCGGGGTACGTTATTTTCACTAATTCGAAAGTTTTAAACTTTTGAAAGTTTCAAAATTGTTCACTAATGTTAATTTAATTCAGTATTCCCAGTGCATGAAACCTTCGGAATGTGATCGAATTTATTAACGGAATCGCCTTAAAATTAACGTTGTTTGATTGTATTGTTGCGTTAAATTGTGAGTCCAAGCATTAAAAATTTTATAGTAAAAATTCATTACTGCATTGATCCAATGTCTAGTTTAAACGGATTAAATTTGTAGTTTATTCACTAATGCGCATAAATTTGGGCTGGCATTGCAAGCAGGTCTTCATCTCCCTTGCGTTTTAGCAACTAAATTATAATTTGAACTACACCAAGTTAAGAAACTACAAACGTAAGAGAAGAAGCGATGAAGCACCTTAAGCACATGCAAGCCTGGTCTGGGTGGTACAGGCGGCTGGGCTGTACCGCGACGATGTGGTACCTGAGGGTTCGCCTTCAGTGAGGGGTTCGACAGGTAGATGCTCGGGTCTGCACCTCGAGGTGGCCACTCGACTTCCCGCCCTGCAGGCAGGAAAATAAATAGGTTATCTTGTTGGAATATTGATAAGCTTTTGGCTCATAGCACGAATTGATAAAGTTTTTTGCCCACAGCACAAACTGACAAACTTTCGAACGTATGCTCTTTAGCGGGCATAACTGGGTCCGGATGACCTACCGATGGGCAAAAATTTTATCGCTTATTTGGAAAAAGTCTCACTCATTTTCTCGGTGTTTCGAGCGTACTAAGAGGGTTATTATGGCATCATGTTCCGGTCAGCAATATTGACATACAGAGTTATTCTCAATGATGGACCCAAGTTAGCAATTTCGTATTTATTCAGGTATGATTTCTAAATGAATAATTTATACACCAATGGAAAGAAAGAGATAAAAAAATTTATTTAAATTATTATTTAAACGCGAAAATGAGTGGCGGTCAGTCTCTCCCTGTCAGTCGATTTGAAAGAAGTTTGAGGCACTTCAATTTCTTCCTGAGCGTTGGGTAGGACGCATAGGAAATGAATTAACGCTGCACTTTTAGCCACCGAGATCACCTGATCTCACCCCACGTGACTATTTCATATGGGGTTACGTCACGGAAGCTGTTTACGTCCCGCCTCTACCAGCAACTCTGTTTACGTCCCGCCTCTACCAGCAACTCTGTTTACGTCCCGCCTCTACCTGCAACTCTGTTTACGTCCCGCCGTACAGTAGTGTTCTAAAATATAATAATGATGATATATGAAAAAAGTTAATTTCAATGACATAAAAAGTATACAACAGAACCGAGAAAGGCATGAATTTTTCTAAGATACATTGACTTAATACTTTGCATATTATTTTTTCATTTTTTATGTTAATTGCGGAGTATAAAAATTATACTCGTGATTGCGGAGTATAGAAATGTTTTGCTCCATCTTTTGTGTTGCATTATAGTTCTGGTCACGAGACCGCGACGCTCGCGTTGGGCACGGCAAAGTGTGTAAAGAATGCTGCGAAAACACACCTTGGTAAATAGCAGGCAAGGCTGCACCCAGTGCGGAAATTCTAGGGATGTTTACAATTCTGAGTGCGTTGAGTTTTAACGACATACATATGTGAGAAAATTATGCGAATGAAAATAAAAATATTATCGAAACCATTATTCTCACATTTTTTACTGACTAAAGCAACTAAAATATTCTGTAACTTCTGTAAAATATTCTGCATATTCTGTACCTTTCCGTAGAGAATATAAGTAATGATAATGTTTATTTTGAATTGTAAAATATTCGTCAGCTATAGATTGTGAGAAACTATGCCCCCTAATTAGTTTTAAGTAGAGCGTCTGGGCCAAAAAATCGATATATTTGGCTTTACCGTTTTCTTGGCTCATTTTGTAGTTGCTGAAAACGCGCGTCTAATGCAGAAAACCGCATGTATGTGCGTGTTCTAGTTAATGCGTAAAGACATTTCAAAAATATTTAAAATGAACATTGTTTTACAACATGCACAAAGAATTATTTAAATAAAATTTGTATATATAATCTATATAATCAAATCTATATAATCAAATAGTGATGTATATAATTTGTATATAGATCATTATTTTCGTTAATTTCTACGTGTTTAAACTCTTTTGAAAGCTACAAACAAGAAGCGTTCAACAAAGCTAGAACCATGGATTTACATGTAATAATTTTTGCGTAAGGCTATTTTGAACTTTTATAAAATGAACACTTTATAATAAAACATGCAAATTTTCATTTAAGAAAGGGTGTTTATAGATCATTTTACGCGTTAATTGCAAAGTGTTTTTTCGCTCGTCCGAAAGCTACAAGCGATGCGCGTTCAAAAATGCAAATACTACGGAAGTACATGCATTTGTTTTTCTTGCGTTAGGCCGTTTTGATTTCATATAAAATATACTTTTTTCATATATAATAATGTAAAAAAGTCTCATATATAGCTTATTATTCAAGTTAAACTGAACAAGAATAAGTTTAAATACGCGTGCTGGTGCCCTAAATGCAACTTATTGCAATTATTAGCAACTACTTTGAATCAACGTGTTCACTGCACTTAATTAGGCTACAATATATCAAACGAATTTTGCGGCATATTCTTCTTTTTTTTAATAAATTATACTTATTCGGCTCCCTTGAACAAATAAATTTTTCAAAATGCACTATCTTAAAAATCTATCTAAAAATATAATTTGAAATCATTTTTTCAAAAAAGAAAAATCGGAAAAAACATCATAAAAATTGAAAAAAATTATCGGTCGACCGCTAGATATGGTCTTTGCGAATCGAATATGTCTCTCGATGTTTCACTCGATGTTTCTTTCAGTTACACTATTTTTTCTATGAATTTCACGTTTTCTTTCATTTTTTTCGAAAAATTTACACGAACAAAAAGTTATTAATTTCTGTTTTACATATGTGCACCAAGTTTTAACATGATCCGACCGTAATTAAAAAAGCTTTCTATTTTTGACCCAGACACTCCCCTTAATATGAACAAAAATGCGCAAGACCAAGCCAGTATTGTCACGAATATAATGCTGTAATTCCCATATCCTGCGAAATTCTTCAATGAAGAGGTTCGTATCAATCACATCAGTTGTGTTTCTTTATTGTTTGTGTTCTCTAGGGTTTTCGGTCTTCAACTTGTTCAGTAAATTATCTCGGGAAAATTTTCAGAATAAATGATGTTTTTCCACAGGTGAAATGCTAATCCAAACAATAAATCCAAACCAATAAGCAATGCTAATCCAAACTTGATTCATGAACTCTTAATGAATGAAATAGAAATAAGAAAAACATCAATAAATAAATTAGTTAATCGAGTTCAGTCCCCTAGAATATATTATAATCAAAACGTTATTTCACTATAAAAGGTTGCAAAAAATATGGCAAGGTCATGCGTGAGCTTACAGGTGTCACCTGTAGCGACAACTAACAAGCCGCATAACGTATAATTCTCAACAAGCCGCATAGTACGTATAATTCTCAAGCTATCAACACAAAGTTTACGCTAGAGCGAAAAGCTGCTGTGAATGTATGCAATATATTTATTTATATGGTATGCAGAGATTTAGTTATCTATATGTTATGCAAAGATATATATAATATTTATCTTGAATTCGCAGGACACTTGCAGGCACTCCCGCATGGAAGAAGCAAGCTTGCAAAGTACGCGCGCTTGACACCAAACATTAAGAAAAAATTGAGATGTTAAATGGGATCAAAATTGTAGTAATGGAGTTATAAGATCCCGAGCTACGGAATGACCAGAGGTGGGCAGTAGCGCGCTACATTTTCAGTGGCGGTAGCGGTAGCGGCGCTACATTTAAGCAATTGTAGCGCTTAGCGATAGCGCCCCGCTACATATTTAAGTAGCGATACGAGGTTTTGCCGCTACAGCGCTACTGCTACATATATAGCTAACGCCTTTAGATTTTACTTATTAGTATTAAATATTATTTAAAAACCAGCATGATACATACATAATATAAATTACAGAATGAAACTTTACGAAAGATTTCGGTGTAATGTTGTCAACCTCAGCCTGTTACTAGTGTCAACATATTAGTTGTTAATTCAGAGGTGGGCAGTAGCGCGCTACATGTAGCGGTAGCGGCGCTACAATCTAGTGGGTGTAGCGGTAGCGGTAGCGCCCGCTACATTTAGAGCATGCAGCGGTAGCGGTAGCGGTCGCTACATTTCAAAGTAGCGCTGCCCAGCTGTGGGAATGTCAATGTTGGACATTTTTAAATCCCTCAGTCGGATAACATAAGTATTGTGTCGGAGAATTCAGGAAGTCTAAATATAATAGAATATGGCTTTAATCGGTGTATTAGTTATAATATTTTGATGTTTTTTGTTTCTTTGTAATAGTTTGAGAGATGAAATATACCTACCTAATTGTTTTTTGTTAATTTGAGTTGAGCCCTACAACTCAAGTCTGAAACTTAATTAAGGCTTCATTTATTCATTCATTTGGTTGAGTGCAAACGTGTTTGATGTCCAAAATTTTATTCACGATGAATTAGATAATAAGCATTTGACATTCTATTCACGTTTTCCATATTCATTCCCTATTCTGGCACTGAAGCAGCTAAAAATAATGTATTCATTTCACATTGTCATTTAAACTAATGCAAATAAGAAATTTATTTTATCAAGTGTATAAAACCAATCCCATACTTCGAAACAAAATATAGCTAAATTATTAAAAAATATGAAACGCAGACATATTATCGAGGAACATCAATAAATAATTGTGCATTAGTAACTTTACAAAAAATAGTGTTGCCGATAATAAAATTTTCTGCAATACTAAAAATAAAAACAATACAAATAGTGTTGTGCAGGAAGGTACGTGGTAAACCGCTTCGACTTATTGATATCAATATTATTGATATCAAATCAATTGATTTCAGGCTTCGCATCCTAGTATATGTTTGGTATTCTTTGCTATCAAATGGGAAGAGCTGTCGATTTTGTAAACATGTGGCCATAATTTGTTTGATCCTTCATAAAAATTGGCAGCTGTGAACCCGGCTTTGATGACGACATCAAAGCAAGAAGACATCAGAGGCTCGAAAAAACCGCAGACTAGGAGCAAACATTTGTCACGATGCGTCACTTGTAAAAAGTTCTTAAGGGTTTCTTGCGTTCAGAACAACTGCGAGCAAAATAGCCAGGTTATTATTAATGCACATTTATTTTGAGAGGATCGTCACGACCCACATTAACATTTGATGACTACAGGTTTTAGGAATTTTCAAGTAGTAATTTAGCATTTATTCATCAAAATGTTTTAAATATTAAGAAACTTACGTCATTGTTTTTCACGATGGAAATCAAACTTTTTTTATCGATTGATAAATATTTTTACAGCTAAATAATTACATTTTCAAATTGCTAAGACATTAGTAAACTGTTATAGTTGGTCTTCAAAACTCAATAACATCTATATTTAAAAAAAGTTAAAGGTAATTGGCGATAAATTTATTATTAAACTCAATTTCGCTG